CATGAATTCCGACACTAATTCACACATCTCAGTTTTATATTCCATCTCACAACTCAATAACCCGAATATTGAAACCCCCGATGAGTTTGCCGACTCAGAACCATCCCCATCAAATCATTTTCATAATTCTTCTAAATTTTCTCAACCCCCTTTTCAACCCATATTATCCAATAACCCTGACCCAATCACTCCCACACCCTCTTATGCTTCCCAAGTTACCCCAACCTACTCCTCATACCATTCTGACCAATCATCTCATTCTCCAGACACCCCCCGAATCTCCCCAGAGCTAGATAATTTTATTACCCTTCAACAACAACCCTACCACCTCCATACCCCAACAATAAACCAAATCTCCTCCACAATAAATTCATCCAACCCCCCTACCCCTACACCCTCTTCAAATTATACTGAATCATTAGCACCATCATCCACATCAACTGAATCTTCACTTAACACTAATAGAGCTTACCGCACTTTTAAAAGAAAGTTCCCCAACCATCCTTTCCCAGCAAAACCAGGAACAGCCCGTGAATACATCAACCACCCCAAGCATACTAACACAAAAGAATTTTTAGCCATCACCTTACCCTCATTCCCACAATACACCTTAAACACCCCCCACGACACTAACGAAACACGCAACTTTGTAGATGAATACGTTTTAATGCCCACTCTCTCTTGGACCTCATATTATCATTTTACTAACCCTCTTTGCTTACCTTTATCTAACACTCACATCGATATAGAGCGAAATACGGACATGCTATATCGACTCACTACACCACTAACCGCTAGACAATTTACTTACGTTGGATATAAAAAATCACTAAAAACACACACTGCACCTAGAGCTAACGAATATACACTCGAATACTATGATCACAACATCATCAGAGCTAACCAAGATAAATTCTTAGACGACGACCGCTTCGCTAATCCACAAATTACCGAGAAATTTTTCATCAAGACACCATATATATTTACACTAAACATCTTCGACCGAAAGTTTGATCACATTATTTCAGAAGCACTAACAGACACACAAGCATACGAAAGTTTTAAAGAACGCTTCCAAATATTTTCACTAACCTTTCATTTCCTTGCACCACACGAAAGAGATTTACACTGCTCACACGATATTATGTTGCGCACTAAACAAACCCACACATATAGTTATTATCGCTTCATCCAAAATCACTTTGACCTACACACACCCTCTAGACAACCACACCATCGTTTTCAATTCATTAATTCCAAATACACTTCACCATTTTTCCTAAATTTCACATATTGTATTAAAGACACTAACCTTCATGGTATTCTTCGCAATTATGATCCCATAACCCAAATGTACATCTTCTGTCCCATCACCAAGACCTTCAACGCCGAAGAATCCCGACCCTTCCTTATCACGCACGAGTTTGTACAACCTATAGAAATCCCAATTTTAGAATTCATCCACAACACTAAATTCAATCACAAATTATATAATCTAATCCAAAACACACCTTATGAGTTTGCAGTTGGCACTGAAGAACTAACCACTATTAAGGCACTTCAATTGCTTTGGCCACTGCTTCAGACTAAAAATATCATCCGCATCTTAGCTAAACTACTAACAACTTCCGATCTCATCCACGACATCTTCCCCCACGGTTTTTTCCCCGACGACTAACAGGTAAGTATGAATTAAATGAATATTACTAACTAATTAAAATATTAAAAACTCACCATACTTTATCCATGTTTTCCTTAGATTTTTAGCCTTCATCCGACGATCACCTACAAAAACCACAAAAAACAAATAAAGATCGCAAATTTCATCAAACAGATTTCAACAATTCTATTAATCTCTTACACTTATAAATTTATAAATTTAATACCAATGCAGTAAATTCATTTCTAAAATTTTCCCCACAAGCAGTAAATCTAATTATGATGAAAATTTGTAACTTAAAATTCCCCCATAACTAGCAGTAAATTTCCAAATTCTATGCAGTAAATTAATAAAATGCAAATGCAGTACTAACCTTTTGATATTCTCACTCATTCGCACAGAAATTCTATCCACACTCGCACAGCTCGCCCACGAAGAATTGTTTAAAATAATGAATTTCAGTTTCAAGTTTTCACACTCAACAACTCTAACATATAATAGCATGTTTCAAACTTTCCTTTAACCCGGTTGGAAAGGAATCATATACTAAACAAAACTAACCAACGCAGCTTACTAAATACCACAAATCATAGAATAACAGCATGACTAAGAAAAGGAAACCAACGGTACCCAAACCGGATTAACCCAGTTTAAAACTGGATAATTTATTCTTTTGAAGACTATTATAAAGTCTAAGAAAGAAATAATAAAACACAAAAAAGTCGAAAGACAAACCCATACCACGAACAATTTGCTTTTTGGAAAAAGGACATAACCAACAAGACATAAGAAAAACCACAACAAACCCAACATAAAACGTTGTCACATAACAGGACCCCTCACAAAAACCGCATGAAATCATACTCCCACTCCTGGCCTAACCCACCAGGAAGGACGTCCTGAGCATGCTCTATAGCCGGCCTAACCCACCGCGCTACATCCACGCTTTGTGACCACACCTCTATTTTTAATAAGAGCTACTCAAGTGTGAGTAACTCTTCAAAATAACCGAACTAAAACAAAAAGCTTTTGTGAAAACAACTAACTAAAATCATAATTAAAAAATATTAAACTAATAAATGTTTTATAAAATGTAAATTACATTATGCAAATACATAGATCAGAATATAACACCAAGGACGAACATCTAAAGACAAAACGACCCCACTACACTCGAGAGAGAATGACCAACCACAATCGATATGCCACTCACAATCACAACTCAAAGGATTTAGAGTACGACTTGACTTCGCAGAAAAGGACTTCATTGAACTAGACCAATGACCACCTCGATGTTCAAGTATACGTACAGATCCGAGTAACCAGGCATCCCCTCCACGCACAATCTCCACGCCATTCCCAAATTAGATCAGACACAAAAGAAGTTCTCCACGCAGAACAGAAAAACCTGACATAGCAAACCATTCTGAAATCAGATTTGAGTTTGTTGCAAAGACTTAGTCGTTGTCACTAGAAGACACAACGTCTTATGTCTCTAACTCCAGCTTCCTGGAACTTCTTTAACAAAAAGGAAACAGAAGAAATATGATGTTCGCCAAACACCAACGTCCATCATCCATCCTTCGAATTGCAGAAGAACTATTCTAAAAAACTCTGTAAAACCCGGATGGGTGGAACCTGATCTAGACTACATTTTATGATTGGATAATTTAGATATTTTACCAATGTAAAGTATTTAATATTAACCAATCATGATCCATCTAACTAACAACCCACTTATTTGTAAGTGCTGAAGTTACTTGTAATTTCAGCACCAGAGAGATTTGAATTTAACTTAGAAATTAGTTGGACTCTCCCGAGCACTTCAGCAGCCGCAATAAACCAGTATACCCTAGATCTATTGAGCCTAGCAGAGACTAGTTAAACAACCTGAGACTAGATAGTATAAGAGTAAGATTAGGATCGGTATTAGACTAAGAAGTTGCACGAATCTATCCGGCCGAAAATAAGATAGCGTGACGAGCAGACGGTGTACCCTATCCGAAATTACTCTATGAGTTAACCAACTCGGTCCTAACTCAAAGTCACGGACCTTATTCGGTTTAGGGTGCGGACCGCTTTCGAAAGTTTTTGGTATGCTGGCTAAAGTTCTGCATATTTGGTTCCGAAAAACGGGATGTTGTGCTGCTTACATAATTCAATGGACTAATTTTTAAAAATCTGCCTTGAATTTTTTTGTGAAATTCCTTTTTGTTCGCTTCATTAAATAGATGCTATTTTTCTGCGAAAAATTTTTCGCTAAAAAAATAAATAAAATGCGACTTCAAAGTCTTATGTTTGCGTCTTCCAATATTTGTAAATTTTGTAAAAGGGCGAGTTATGTATGACAGTAAAGAGTCCAGTTTCTTCTCGCGGATGTTCTTTTTATATTTCACATTGGATCAAACTGTAAGTTCAGTTTCTTGAAAACTGCAATGTGTATCTATTACAAGCAGATGGTGGCGTCATTTTGCGTGCTTTTCCGCATATACCATGGCAGTTGATCTTCAAATTGGATGAGTTTGCAGATATGGCCGGGGTTTCGGGGGGTCTTTGATGGACTCTTTTATCATTTGCTGCATTTTGATAGGTGCCGATTGTTCCATTAATTTTCGTACGTACTGGGAAGAAAAGGATGTGGCTGTTTGTACATATCGAGCAGTAAAAGCTCCGATGATGTTATTTTAAAGTGCAAGTCCTTCGCATTACGGTGGTTTCATCATGCATAACACCAGGCGCTTGCTTGAGTGCGGGCATTTTTAAGGTGCATATAAAATTTAGAGGCTGGATTCATGCGGGCACAAAATTTAGAGGCTGGATTCATGCGGGCACAAGGTTGGGGTTGAGAAAAGGTTGGGGTTGATGTCGGCATATGAATAGAGAGTGAGAAATAATAGATGGAGCGGCCAGCGTACTTTGGAAGGTGCGAAACCAGAAACTCGGCTCCAGTCATCTGTCTGCACTCCCAAAGACGGCTGCTTAAATGGGTGCCAATTGCGGCGGTTTTCGTCGCTCATCGGGTCCGTTGCTTGGGGGCATCACACCTTGTTTTTGAAAGTCGGAACAAAGAATTTGCACTTGTCAGAAGTATTTCATCCTTTCTTTGACAATCGGAACTGAAAAATACACCGGTCACAAATGCTGGTCCTTGTTCTTTACTCGGGGCACTAGTTTTAGAGAAACAATCAAAAATTTTAATTTCCATGTTGTTTTTTGTTTTCACTGGATGGTTATTTTAAATGCTTTAGCTGAATAAAAAGAGTCTCTGCTGTTAAGTGAGCCAGAGAGCGTTGTTCTGGTCTGACCCCCTTGCTAAGTAGCTAACCTGCTTGATTTTTAGGAGTTGGAACCAGAAATGATCATCTTCGACCTTCCCCACATCCGAGACGAGGATCCGAAGAAAGACGAGACCAAATTTTACACCATCCGACAACTGCGCAAACAGATATGCATCCGCAAAATAGGTAACAGCATGATTTTGCGATTTAGTACACTTTCAACTGAATTTTTTTTTGATATTTGGACTATTCGGGGTATTTGAAAAGAAAGAAAACATGTTCTATGTTTTATATTACGTTGGGCAATAATCAGCATGTACTACTGAATGAGATAAGTATTTCGAGAAATGAACATATTTTATCGTCTCCTCCGCCAGATCTAAAGATAAATTTCATGTTGTAACCAGTGCTTTCGCAAAGTTCCGGTTATGGTCTAATGCAGCGGATGATCTAGGATGTTCTAATTTTTTTTATTTTTGCGATTGTTTTGTTGTTTGACCAAATTGAAACTTTGAGCTCTTACAAAATATAAAAAATATCCTATTATAACAAATTTTCTGCGCCGCAATCAAATTTTTTTAAAAGGCCGTTTTTGGGCAATTTTTGGAAGGATTTGACGAGTTCCTTTTTGAAATTGAAAACTGGTTTGGTTGTACAGATAATCTGAGGAAGCGAGAGGCTCAAATCTTCAAAAACCTGGAATTTGCACGGGTTCTCCTCAACAAGGCGATCCAGGATTCCCATGGCATGCAGGGCAAGTTCACAGACCAGGAGAAGGGGCAGCAGGAGTTCAGTGCACTCCTGCACGAGTTGGATATAGTTCAGGCGAGTAGTTCACTAAACCCCAATTATGTAGACAAACAGTGATTTTGCTAAAACTTATACAAAAAAGTGGAAACACCTATTCGGGATCCAATTTATCACAATTGGAAAATTTTCGGTTGGGCCGTATTTCTGACCTGATCGTTTTTTACGGAAGCATTTTTTTCATCGCCCATATTCTGAAGTAAACTTTCTTGTGAGTGCCTATATTAAATGATTCACTCAAGTGTTTCCTCGCTTCAGGTGTCCATTCAGAACTTAGTGGAGGACTACTTTGCATTGAACAGGAGCAACAGTCCCAGAGAGAAGCCTCACCACCTGAACAGTTATTTGACCCCCGTGAAGGAGTCACATGGAAAGGGGACCCAGTACATGGTTATCAGGCCACCACTAGGTAAAGGCTCACAGTATAATTGCGTAGAGCGATAAATCCTTCGCTGGCATTTCTGAAAACGCTCCAATAATGCTTCTGACGTTCTAGAAAATATTAAGTTTGGGCACTATTGACAAAAAAGGTCAATGTTTTTCAGTGATTAGTTGCTATTTTCACGTCTCGTTTTCTCAAATTGTTTTGCGTTTAAAAAACATGGAAGATTTAGACCTTTCGAAGTCGCTGTCTCAAACTAATTTTGGAAATCCTGATCAAATTAAAGATTTAATGACTGCCTTTGTCAATCGCATTGAACAACAGGATAATACTATTAGTTATTTAAAATCAGAAAACGAGCATTTGCTATCTGAAAACTCCCTAATTAAAGACAGGGTACTAAAACTTGAGCGATATTCCTCGAAATTGTATTTAATTTTTCTTGGATCACAAACCGACGGAGACCCGTTAGCTGCTGTTTTGGGTATTATACGAAACGTGCTGAGAGTCATTATCAACCAGGAAGATTTAGCGGCCTGCCACTACCTTCCGAGCAGAAATCAGGTAAAAACCAATCATAATTAAATTCCTGTATCACCATCAAAAGGACTTGGTTTGGCGAAACAGGAAGGAACTCATGAAGAATGATAAAACCAAGCGTGTGTACATAGTGGAGCGGCTTGCTGAGTGGGATCGTGATGTTGTAAGCTACGCAAAGGACCAACAACTGCTGGTAACAACAAACAATTGTCAACCATCAGTGAAACTTGGTGAGAGCTGGGTTCAAGTTAATTTTAAAAATGATGTGGAGAAAGTTAGTAACCGGTATAGCTCATTGGAATATGATAAAAGTGCAAGGAGATCGAGTAATTTTGTTCCGATTCGGCGAAGTGATAGCAAACTTTCTACTGGTGCATTTGATTTGAATACGGAAACTAATGTATTGGAACCGCAAATATTGGGCACTGTTAGAAGGGGAGTACCAAAAAGAAAGTTGAATGCCGATGAAAAGTTGGATAAAATCTGCACCTTACTGGAGACTGTGATATCAAAAAGCTTATCTCCGCCTTCAAAAAGCAACAAACTGGAAACTTTGCAGAATACCTCGGATGAAGAAACTGACGTGAAAAATTCAAATTAGAACAAAATTCTTTGCTCCATTTTAGTTTGGTAGACTTTTGGGAAGGGAAAAAGGTGGAATACTTGAGAAAGATTACCTCTTCTTTCTCAATATACAATCACTTAGATGCCATCATGATCTATTGAAAGTGGAGTTATACAGACTAAAAAACGCTCCAGCATTGATAGCTTTATGTGAAACATGGCTAACTGATAATGATCCAATAGAACCTTACAGCATTGATGGCTATCAGACAATCAAAACCAAAAACAAGGTTGGTCTAAAGGGAGGGGATATTGCTTACTTTGTTAAAAAAAGGTTCAACGGCTTCTTCAAAAAGCTTTGATATTGGTATTGAAAATCTAATGATAACTGTTGAAAATGTTCATTGGAAAAAGTACTTTTGCGTATTGTACAAAGCACCATCAATTAATCAGGATACTTTTTTAAAAATTTGGATCAGGATACTTCATTGTGTATCTCAGATCAAAGAAGAAATATTATTTTGTGGTGATCTTATTGTTGATATCTTGGTAAATTCTTCTTTTTTAGTTGACTATAAAAACTTACTCCTATCATTTGGTTTGAAGTTGTTAAACGAAGAATTCACTAGAGAAACTACCCATAGCTCATCATGTATCGATCATGTTTTTGCAAATATGCATCACGAGGTATCAACATTGAAATGCACTATCAAAAATCACTACGCCCTGCTGGTTAACACTGATCTAGAAAGGCATTTTGAAATTAATACTCCTAGAAAATAATGAGATTTCAAACGTTTATACGAGGAGACTACGGCATGTAAACTGCTTTTTCTACTCAATCAACGCTTATCAAAAGCTTTTGAAAAGCTGGATACTTTTTCTCCAGAAATAACTGCTAGAATATTTTTAGATACTTGTAACATTTATTGTCCTGAAAAAACTGTCACACGGAACAAAAAATCGCAGTCTTGGGTAACTCTCGATTTGAAAAAACAATTTAGGAAACGAGATAAACTTCATTTGCTTCTAATTAACAATCCAATCAAAGAGAAAAAATCTAACTGGAAAACTCAGTGTAAATTAATCAATCGATTGATGCAAAATACCAAGAGAAACTACTATGATAGAAAAATCAACTTGCAAAGCAATACAAAAAGTCTTTTCAATGCTTTTAAAGAATTTTCCGGAAAAACTTTTTCGGTTGGTAGTAAAATTAATGTTGATGATTTCAACAACTTTTTGTGCAAGTCGGTCAAAGCCTTGCAGCCGATATGCCTTGTAATTTTACTGCTGCACTCATAGAAGTAAATGAAAAAACTTTTTTTCTCTTGTCCAAGTGATGAGTCAGAAGTTTCTATTGTTATAGAAAAACTGAAAAACAAAACGTTCGACGGTCATGATGGCAGCAATAATAGAATGGTCAAGTTTTGTGCACCAAAAATATTGCCATTCTTAACTTTCTGCTTCAATCAAAGCTTTATTGCTGGCGTTTTTCCAGACATTGGTAAAATTGAAAAAATACTAACATTTTATAAAACGGGAAAACAGACAGAGCGAAACAGTTCTCGACCCATAAGTTTGCTAACTATGCTAAATGTTACTCAGCAAAATTTTTCAAAAATAATACACATTCGCATGAGTAAGTTTATATCAAAATGCAAGCTTTTGGTGCCTGAACAGTTTGGGTTCCGGCGCAGATATTCTTGTGTGCATGCAAAAACTTCTGCAATGGAAATAATGCGTCACTGTATAGATGATAAAAAAGCTGGATTAGCGGGTTTTGTAGATCTTAAAAAAGCTTTTGACTCAATTGATCACTCCATTTTACTAACCAAATTAGATCTCTATGGGTTCTGCGGTGTAACAAACACTTTTCTGCAGTCTTATTTAACCAATCGTAAGCAGTATGTATCTTTTTGTGGAAAAAACTCTCAATTAAAGAATATCAAGTTCGGAGTTCCCCAAGGATCTGTCTTAGGTCCACTGCTGTTTTTACTCTATATTATTGACATGCCTAAAAATTGACGAAAAGTTCTTTTTGTCTATTTGCTGATGATACAACTATTCTTACTACGTGCAAAAAAATTTGATTGATAAAAATTTTAATCAGGACCTTATATCGATAGAAAATTGGTGCACAAATAATAGACTAACCATCAATCTTGATAAAACGCAAGTACAAATTCGGAAAGAGTTCAAAAGAATCTGAAATTTTTTTTGGGGAATCAGAAACCTAATGTTGTGAACTCCTTAGAGTATATTGGGGTTGTGTCAGATAATAAGCTCTGTTGTAAGCAACACATAGATCATGTTTGTAAAAAGTTAGCTAAATTTAATGGAGTTCTTTTTAAAGCAAGAAATGCTTTTTCTAGAACAATTCTTCTTAGATTTTATCAAGTTTATGCAAAACCTTTATCACACGGCATCTTAGTTTATGGATGTCCAAGACAAATTTAAACAATATTCTTTTAATGCAAAAGCGAATTCTTAGACTATTTTCTTTAGGCGCAAATTTGATCTTATTACGGAAAATTTTTCGGAGTATAATGTTGATACTGTTTTCGAATTGTTTTTAGATACTGTTTTTAAAGAAGTTATTTATCAAATACTTTGTAAATCGCCATTAAAGTTTTTGGACTTTAACCAACTAAATAACTGCAGCCAAACACATGCCCGCAGCTTGAGAATGCTAGTTCAAAATCTGTTAAATCTAACTGCTTATTACAATCGGTTAGCGTTAAAGTGCTCAAGTTTTACAAATTTTTTTTCGGCTAATAATCTTTTTCCAGAGAATTTGAAAGATACGTGAAAATCTCAATTGAACTCATATGTACAAAACACTAAACGTAATTTTGTCTCAGATAATTTTGAACTCCTTCACCTGATATTTGACAAGTGATCTAATTCCTGCCTTTTCTTTCTCCTCAACTTATTATGTAAAAGTGTACCTTATGGGACGTCTTCTCGAGGGGCCTTAGGGCCCGTGAGTCGATCGCTGTGAGTATCTTATGACTGCATAAATGTGCTCACTACATAATTCAAACTTCAAACTTCAATTGAAAAATTGACGATTTAATTAAGTTTTAACACTGATTACTGATTAAATTTTTGATAGTTATCTAAAGTTTTTGGGGCTGCGGATTTTCTGTAATTTGTTGAGCGTTTGTTGTTTTTTTTTGTTTTCTGCTTAAATTTTTTTCAAAACAAATTTGCCTAAACTTTCTACATAGCAGGAAGTGGGAGGTTATTTGAAAAAGGGTTTGTTCGGTTAGGGCAGATATTGTAAGATAATTGCAGCAGGGGCGGAGTTAGGGGGGCGGGGGGACAAATTTTGAGCGGGGAGCGCGCGCCGAAAAAACGCAATTTTTCGGTCCAAATTTTTTCCAAAAAGTGCCTAAAAACGCCTTCTTTGGCCTATTTTTTCAAAAATTTGCCTGCGGTGCACAAATTTTGGCCAAAATTGCAATAAAAAATGCTTTGGGAGAGTTCGAAAAAATCAATTTGGTCGACCTAAAAAAAATCGACAAAATTTTCGAAAATTTTTTGAAAATCCGCCCCCCCCCCCTCGAATTGCAGCTATTTATTTTTCTGAAGAACAGTCAAACTCTGATTTCTTTTTAAAAGCATTTCCTGGAAATTCAATCAAAATATTTTTATGGACATTTGATTGGTGAATTAATAGTTTTTTTTTCATTTAGATTATTATTATAACAACGAGAGAGACACCCAGGAGATTGACCTGCCAGATACTATCCAGCAGGAAATAGTTGACATGTTTGGAACCCCGCAACAAGGGGGGACACTTACTGGCAGCCGAAGGGAGAGTCTGAAAAGCAAGGGGCCCGCATACAACCCGAACTCGGACAGAACTGATATGACAGCTGTTCACGCAGCAGGATTGTCGGCCACTGTCGGGGCCGTGAGGGGTCAAAGTCATCAGCAGGTGGACACGAAGAGTCAGGATTCGGGAGAGGGGGATCACTGGGAGGACGACGAGGCTGTAGGCTGGAAAGCCATTGTCAAGTGAGCAATAACGCTCTTTTATTTTTGATTGATGACAACAACTTAACAAAAACAAGCATGTTTGCGTTCTTAGGAGAATACGCACCGTTAACTCCTCTTAGGACCGGAGTTATAAGGGGGTTTTGGAAAAAATCTCCCGGGATTTGACCCTTCAACATCCAATGGGTCCCCATTTTGATATTATTTCTCAAAATTCGCTTTTGGTCAAACAATCCTTTGGCGCCTAGGTACCTCAATTTTGAGCAGAAAATGCGGGATCCAGACGACGCCGCCTTCCAGTGGTGGATCCGACATCTTGGGCCCCACCAAGATGCAAATGGCGTCAAGCCCCCCCTCCCATTGGGTCGGGAGAAGCTCCGAAGTCTCCGGGTTTTCGGTTACGGAGCGTCTGAAGCCGGCCAGGCTGCTCCGTCTGCTCATCCTTATACTACTACTCCGCTCCGGCATTAATCCAAACCCTGGTCCAGGGCCTTACTTTTGCTCCCCTTGCTCTTTCCGCATCAAACGCACCCAGCCCAGCGTCTGGTGCCACATCTGTGGTTACATTCACCTTAAATGTAGTGGTCTTACCCACCTTAACCAACACCACCTCGACTACTATTGCCCTACCTGTACCTCTACCTACATTTTACCTCCCCCAGGCACCAGGTCCTCTAACTTGACCACCCCCAACTCCCAAACTTGTTCAACTTCCCTAACCGCCCCCCAACCCCACCTCCCTAACCCCCCTCCCCCTCCCACCCTTCCCACCTCCTCGAATAATAATTCCTCCTCCCAAAATCGCGCAAATCGTAATCGTGTAAATAGTGTAAATAACTCAAGTTCAAACAACCATTTTAATCATACTGCTGTTAATAATGTAAATAGTTCACCACACCCTGCCAAAGGCCTTTTAAAAATCCTTCAATTTAATTGCAACGGTATCTCCGGAAAAGCACCCGAAATTGCTGCTTTCTTATCTCAAAATCAAATTCATATTGCTGTCTTCCAAGAAACTAAATTAAGAAAGAAATCTCGAAACCCCTCACTTGGCTCACACTACACTTTAATTAGAAAAGATCGAGAAAAAGAAGGGGGCGGTCTTCTCATAGCCATACATGAGTCGATACAATACGAAGAAATAAATATTAACAACGATGGAACACTAGAGGCTATGGGCATATCAGTGGTAGCCAGTTCATCCAAGCTTCGTATTTATAATTTCTACATCCCCCCTCGCTCGAGCTGTCCCCCTGGTTACTCTGCGTCCCTTGCCGAACTACTTGAACCTGGGGACGCCTTAGTACTCGGAGATGCCAACGCACATTCACAACTATGGAACTCCAACATCGAGGAAGATCAACGCGGCTCTGTACTTAGCAATGAAATAACCGAATCCACCTTTGCTCCATTAAATGATGACACACAAACCAGAGTCCCTTTTAACTCAGAAAACCAACTCTCGTCACCAGATATTTCCCTCGCATCCCAATCGCTCTTACTCTCCACATCATGGACCCCAATTAAATCTCTAGGATCAGATCACCTACCCATTCTTCTAGAACTACCCTTGGATGATTTTATAAATTTTTCGCCTAAAAGGACTTTTGTAAATTTTTTAAAAGCAGATTGGATCAAATTCACAGAGGAAATTGAGGAGGGTTTCTTTTCAGCGGTTCCACCTTCCGGAGTTGCCGCTGGAGAGAAATTCTTGAGGGACCTGGTGCTCAGGGCAGCACGCCACCACATCCCCGCTGGCCGTATTCGCCACTTCACTCCCTCTCTTTCCCCCGAGTCCACTGCCCTAGCCGCCGAAAGAGATTTAAGCCGAAAACAAAATCTCCCCCCAGAAGTCATATCCCAACTGAACTGTAGACTCATGAAACAGACAGCAAAGGACAAAGAAAATAAATGGCGAGAATTCCTCCGGACTTGCGACTACCGCACTGGTGCCAGAAAGTTCTGGAAAGTGGTACGCTCCTTAAATGGATCTAAGCCCGTGGCAGGAAGACACCCCATTACTTTTGGTTCTAAACCCATACACTCACCTCGTGATATTACCAGCTCTTTTAACAAACAATTCACCAATGCCAGACCCCACGCCTCTGACAAACTCCTTCGTATAACGAGAAGAAAAATTGCCAAACTACCACTGTCAGACAGCCCAATTTTTACCCCTGAAAATACTAAACAAGCCATTGCAGACAGCAAACCATCGCGAGCGCTAGGTCCCGACGGCCTCTGTAATATCCATCTTAAACATCTCGGCCCACTTGCTACTCAATACTTAACATACCTTTTTAATATCTCTTTGTCCGAAAACATTATCCCCCAAATTTGGAAAAATTCAAAAATTGCACCGCTTCCAAAGCCCAATAAGGATCTTAAACAATCAACATCTTACAGACCTATATCCTTACTCTGCCCAGCAGTTAAAATTCTGGAGAGGCTCGTTCACCCCATCTTTACCAAACATCTCCCCAACGCCAAACACCAACACGGCTTCCGCCCTTTTCACTCCACCACCACAGCTCTCTCCACTCTCGAATTTTACATTTCAGACGGTTTTAACCAAAATCGCCCCCCTAAACGTACGGTACTGGCCACACTTGACTTATCTAAGGCTTTCGACATGGTGTGTCATCGCTCACTTGTGGAACTCGTTCATGACACTCCCCTCCCAAGAAGTCTAGTCCGCTGGCTAAGTAATTACCTTAATGGTCGACAGGCTGCCACCTCATTCCGTGAACACACATCCCCCCATCGAATAATCCACTGTGGCGTACCCCAAGGTTCTGTTTTATCACCCACACTCTTCAATTTTTATGTCCATGATGCACCGCCACCTCCCGATAATGTAAACCTTGTTTCGTATGCAGACGATTTCCACCCCTTCGCAAGCAGTTCCAATATTGATATCGCCTCAAACTCCCTCAATAGCTACCTAAAAAGGCTCTACGATTTTTTCACCTCACGCAAACTAAGTTTCGCGTCCTCTAAAGGATCAGTTACACTTTTCTCCTCTTATAACAAAGAATTTAATAAAACACCTAGTGTTCTTTTAAATAACGAGGCGCTACCCCTAAACAAAAATCCAACAATCTTAGGGGTGACATTTGATCCAACACTTTGTTTTGCCACTCACTGCAAACAATCCGCTGAAAAGGCCAGACGCAGGATCGGAATCCTGAAGGCATTAGCAGGATCAACCTGGGGTCACTCCAAAGAAACCCTCCTCCTAACTTTTAAAGCTTTAATTCGCCCCATACTTGACTATGCAGCCCCCGCATGGTCCCACGCATCAAGTAACACCTCCATAAATTGCCTGCAGGTTGCCCAAAACCAATCCCTTCGCGTTGTTACTGGATCAAATCTAATGAGTTCAACTGCCCACCTGCACAGTGAATCTGAAATCCTAACGGTCAAAGACCACCATACCCTTCTGTCATCTCAATTTTTTATCTCCACCTATCGTTCCCACCATCCCATTAATTTTATACATTCACATCCCCCTCCTCCCCGTCTACTTCGCCCCTCAATTATAAGCTGCTTCAAAGAAGACACCCAGAAAATTTTAACCGACTTTTCAGTCTACGCAAACCACCCTCTAGTTCTGGACGACCGAGACGAAGTCTCCACTTTTATTTTTAACTACTACAAACCAATTTTAAAAGACAACCATACCTCCCTTGTAACCAAGTTCCTAGCCGAAACCCCTCCGTCTAAAGTTATTTGTATCCCTCCCCCAAAGATTGACCCCTCTGAAAAATCTCTCCCACGTCCCACGCGCTGTAAGCTCTCCCAACTCCGGTCTGGCTACAGCCGGCTCCTTAACACTTACCTATCCCGCCTCGACAGCTCCATCTCCCACCTTTGCCCAACCTGTTCCCTTGCCCCCCACACAACATGTCACCTTTTCAACTGCTCCCAAAACCCCTCCCCACTCACCCCAGCAGACCTGTGGCTTCGGCCGGTAGAGGTTGCTAAGTTCCTTGACCTGGAGACAGAAGAGCCCAACCCGACCCGCGTGGGCTAACAACAACAACAACAAGCAGAAAATGCGCGCCAAACACAAGTTTTGGAGGTTATCTTCCACTAAGAGCTCTAAAACTTCACTAAAATATCAATTTAAAGATTAGATTGAGGCGCAGAAAAAAATCGGCAAAACAGCTTCATTTTGTGTCTTAGACTTAACAAAAAATCAAGCCGCATTGGCTTAACAAAAATACCATAACAATAAGAAAACTTTATTTTGCCAGCTCTGAAGATCTAGTTTAATTATTTAAAAAGTTCAGTGTATAAAGGCGCCAAAGGTGCCTTAATTTTTTCGAAGGTTCATCAAGAGAAAAGATGTCTGTGAATAATAACAAGAAAGAAAGAAAACGTGGTCGATTTTCTGAGAATTGTGGGTGTCCACTCTAGCATTCAGACTCAGTCAGTAATCTCAGTTAATTTGTTTTGTTGCTCTCGTAACCCGTTATATAATTTCCTTAAGTAAAACTTTCCACAAAGCTAACAATAATTGTCTTGAGACAAAATTGTCTTTAGCGATTTAGTGTTCAATTGCATGATAGATGCGAGGAGGAGACCCCGAGTGGTAATTTTCTTTCTGCTTTTCTATTCCCGCAGACTATGAGGATCAAAAGCTGTGCAATATGTCGTTGGTATATGAATGTCCCGAAACATTCGGAGTTTGTATGACTTTGTTCTATCGAATCAACACTACCCATGCTGTTGTTAATGTGCAAACTTTAACTTTAATTTTTGCAAAACAAACGCGAAGATGAATATTTTTCTGAGACATCAGTCCGAGACTTGAACCTTCTCATATGTCGTCGGTTTCGAAAAAAAGGTCAATTAAAGTTTCCCCGAAACTGTTCAACAGTTCTTTTTTGAAAAGCTGCTATTTACTTTTGCAGTTTAACGCAGAAATCAAGAGCTTGGATTGACAACATTTTATACTGGTCAAAATAAAAAATGACGCACGATCTTCAGATCATTTGTCAATCAGGCCTTTATAAAATTTTGAACTCAGTTTGGCTGCTTTATGCAGTGACAGTTGCAAAAAAAAGAGAATCCCCCTATTGGACTATGAGACCAATTCGAGACAACCTGGGTGGCAGGGTAGTTCTTCATAAATCTTCAAAATCAATTTGGAATCAATTTGCCAAAAATGCGTAACAAAAACATAAATTTCTACGAGGGCTCGCAAAGGGTCTTCCAGGTCAAGTTGATTTGTGACAAACCCACGATTCGCAACTTATCCAACGCCTGGCAAAAAAATTGACAGGGGTCGGAATTAGGCCTGCTCGAATGACCACCGGAAAAGTGATGCCAATGTAGCCAAGTATGAAAAATGTGGAATGCGGTTGGTTGAGCTGCTGAAGATTTACAAAAACGAGAGTTTTATTAAACAACTTGAGATTGTTTTGATGCATGTTTTTTTTATTAAGAGTCGATGAGTGTAGTTCAAACTTTTATATAGGTTGCAATAGTTTTTTTTTTGTTTATTTTTTCAGGAAAAGTCTTGAATTTTTTCAGTTTCAAATTTACATTTTCGCTGTTGACTTTTGATTGCTTTTTAACTCATTTCATTTCTCCCAATAAACGGAAGGCAAACTCCACTATCGAACAGCGAAAGTGTAAAAATCACGAAAAACGTGATCGACTTCCAGTTTCAAAAAAGGAATTTAATTATCAGATTTCCCATGGAAATAAAAATTTTGCCTATTGATCCATTTTTAAATTGGGTTTTTTAATCAAAAAAGAGTCAAACATAAATTGTTCTAGAAATTCAAAGAGCTTTAAGGCCATCTAAATTTTTAGCGGAAATTTTAAAGTCGATTTAAAAAAAAAGATACGTATTTTTTGCTTGCTTTTTTGCTTGCCCTTCATTAACTCTTTTCCAACTGTTTCTTAGCTATAATCTTTAAAATTAATATTTTATCTAATTTTCATTGATAAGATCAAAAAATTTTCGGTTGCAAAATACAAGCTGGTTCAAGTTGTCGCTTTTTATTAATGCATCGAGTTGTCGCTGGTGGCTAAATGTTGCCATGCCGTTACGTAGGAACCATGTATTTTATAAAATGAATGTTTGTTATCTTTTGTAGGTTCACTTTTGATCCGGCTGCCCTCTATCCAGACACGGATCAGACAAGCAACATGCTGAAAGTGGAGCAGGGCCAGACTATCACGGTGCTGGAAAACCTAGCAGACGCCTGGTGCCTAGCACAAGACAGTGCCAAAAACACTGGACATGTTCCCTCTGCATACATAGAACCCATTTGACAGAATTAAGTGAAGCCATGTCCTCGTTAAGCAGATGGCTTCAATTCATTCAAACACGAAGTTCCTAATAACTTTGGCGCTAATAATAACTTGTTTTTATATTCCTAATAGAAAGTAAAATGATTTAAGGAAAAGTTATCATGCGTTATTGTCTAAGCTTTATTGTACAATTTATTTTAGTTTCTCTTCATTTTGAATTTTGCGCTGAAAGTCTTGTTTGCAAAAGTTTCTACTGCAGCTTGAACACTTCAACACACTACCGTGAATGTTACATTTTAACGGTGTCAGCAAATAATGCTTTTTGTTAACTTAAGGTCAAGTTTTTTGAAAACAAATCAACGAACCCAAAACAATTAATCTTGTTTTTGATGCCCTCGAACACAATTAAAAAACTAAAGCAGTTCTCGTTTTTATATTTTTCTTTATAAATTTTCCAGTATAATTAGTTGCACATTTAAATCATCAAATGATCTTCGACTGTCTGTAGTTTTTGTTTTTAATGGTTTTCTCTGAACTCGGAAAATAATTTCTTTAAAACATTTTTTTCGTGCTTTAGAAAATTGGTTTTCGTGCTTTAGGGACGAAAAATTGGACGATTTAGATCCAACAACAGGCTGTGTCGATAAATGAAATCTTCTGTGTTTTGGAGTTTTGGATTTTCGTGCTTTGGTTTTTGTTTTTAATGGTTTTCACTGAACTCGGCAAATAATTCTCCTGTTGTTGGATCTCAATTTGAATTTTTAGTTTATCGACACAGCCTGTTGTTGGATCTCAAATTGCATAGGATTTTTTGAAACACATTCGAAGAAGATTTCATTTAAGGCTAGAAAATGCATCAAGGTCATCATTTCAAATTTTGTTATGAGTCATCATATGTTTTTGTTTGGCAGTGCCCTAAAGCACGAAAAAAATGCTTTCAAGTTAATCATGAGAATTATTTGCCGAGTTCAGTGAAAACAATTAAAAACAAAAACCAAAGCACGAAAAACTAAAAGCAAAGCACCTTGTGCATTTTCTAGCCATAAATGAAATCTTCTTCAAATGTGTTTCAAAAAATCCTATGCAATTGTCTTGCAATTTCTTCGAATGTGTTTTAAAAAATCCTATGCAATTTCCTTAATCGTATACAAATCCTATGCTTTGAGAAAGATTCAAAATTGAGATCCAGCAACATTGAGGACTCAATTTTGAATCTTTCTCATTTTGATTCTACCTTTCAGAAATAATAAAAAAAGAGTAAATAAGGTAACTTGAAACGCATCAATTTTAAAAGTATGTTTTAAACAACAAAAATAGCAGAAAAGACTCAATTAAGTGGACGAAAACATTGTTCGAATAATAATTTTTTGTAAGTTTCATTTTTTTAGCTAAAAAAGTACACAATTAAAAATATATATTCATGAACAAACGGACTCCTTCAGCAAAATCTTAGTACGCCCTCAAAAAGTATCCATTAATTTGATTAAAAAATTTATTTTAATTTGGTTATGTAATGCAGTTTTGCGTTATTTTGATTCTAACTTTCAGAAATAATAATTAAAAAAAGGGTAAATATGGTAACTTGTAACGCATCAACTTAAAAAAAAACAATTTAAACAACAAAAATAGCATGGAAGACCTAATTAAATAGACAAAAACATTGTTCAAATAACAATTTTTGGTAAAATTTAATTTTTAGCTAAAAAAATACACAATTAAAAATATATAAATTTATGAACAAACGGACTCATTCAGCGAAATCTTAGTACGCCCTGAAAAGGTTCGATCAATTTGATTAAAAAATTATATCAATATGATTTTTTAATGCAGTTTTCTAGATTGCCTTTAGGTGGCTGATCTGATACCAGTGAACAAAGAAGAAAAAAAAGCAAAGCCCTCAAAGTTTCGATCAATTAGATTTTGTAGATAAACTCCTGGAATTATTAATGAAAAAAAATCATGAGATCGTTTTTTATTTCAATTCACAAGATAAAAACTCTCGGCTTCAGCTCAAGTCGTGGGACCTTCGATGCAAAAGTGGCATCTAGCGAAAAAAGCAACACTTCCAGAATTAAAAAAATGCATTTGAAAAAGTGTTAGACAATGATAGATTACAGAACCCTGCTGCCAAAATATGCGAATCATATGGGGTTAAAGATTCAATATATAGAAGAAAAATCTATTACCATGGCTTACTTCGAATCAAACATCGAAATTTAAATGTTAAATTGTTCGAAACTTTTGGCAAGCCAAAAATTTAAAAAATATAGAGCGTAACATATTTTAAAAAACACGAAGATGACTTTAGTCAAACAAGAGCTTTTCACACGAAATCTATAATGTTATTTCAAAAAATATATATAAAAATATTGTTCCAGTTCGCAATGATTTCATCAAACAAACTTATTTCCTTCACTCTCGTGTTTTTATCTTCATATTTGTTAAGTTTATGAAAACTAATGGAAAAAATGGTTGAAACTTGGAATAATTATACTTTCAAGCTCAGGAGAACAAAATTTTTTTCCAAATAATTTTTATTGCCAAAGTTTGCAAAGTATAGCAAGTCTTTCGCCAACAGGTGTTAACAAAAACTCGATTAGTTCAATAATTGTTTCTATAAGCAAAATGCTCCATTTTTTTCAAGTTGAAGTTCACTATTGATTTTAGAGTTTGTTTTTTAGATTTCTAGGCTAAGTTAAGCATATATACTTTTCAATAAATTTTTTCCAAAGTGTCTGAATATTTTGAAGTATTTCTGACCTACAATCTAAGAATTAGTCAAAATTGTTCTTTGAAGCTCCGCGTTTGCCTGTTTTGTAATTTTTTTGCCTGAACAACTGCAGCGCACCATTTTTTGAAAAATC